GAATAATGATATGAACAAAGCCGTCATAGGATCCAAAACCGTCTTCCTCCATCTAGCACACTCCGTCCTAAAAATTTGCCTTTATAAACACACTCCGTTTCTCTACTGGAATAGTCATCCTACTTCAGAATATGACAGTATTCATCTTAAGATACTAGTACTTCGTACTGAATATCCTATGGGGGGAATTTGCAGCTGTTTCAGCCGCCCAATTACAGACGAAGTGCAGCTGAAGAAGGCGGTTATTGGCCGCTATCAAAACACTCTTCTGGGATCACTACCGCCGGAGAAGAAGCAAACTAGGCACATGAATTCGTCAGCTCAGAACAAATTTAGAAAGGTGGGGTATATGACTCTCGAGGATTGTCTACTGGCCTCTCCCAACTTAAATGCTCATCCACGCGTTGTAGGAGGTGAAATTCAAATCTTTAAGCATTTGCCTACTAATAGAGTTTTTCCATCTTCGACTTCTCCTGATACTGGTCAGGAGTTTTTCACGCCAAGACGAAGTTTCTCAGGTGCAGACTGCAAATTAGGGAGAATTGATGAAGATTATGGACAAGATGCGGATCAAGACTCGTCGCGAGTGAGTTCGATTAGTAGAAGTGGAAGTGGGAAGGTAAAAAAGAAGGTGAGATTTAGGTTGCCCGAAGAAGCTGACATATACATATATTACACTCCGAAAGGAGAATTTGAAGAATGAATAATATACAGTGTGATCTTACATTTTAAAGTTTAGATGAAAAAGCACATACTGCTCTTGAGAATATGCTTCAGAGGGTTTGAACTTTGAAGCATTCCAAAGTGAGGCTGAGAAGGGCAATAAGATCCCTATTATCTTCAACAGCCAACGTTCTGCAAATTCCGGCTGATTGTAGTCATTAATTTTGAAAATGACGTAGCTGCTGAAAATTTTTGAAGATGTTTTTCCTTTGCTGGAATTGAGGAAGATTTAATGGCTTTGAACTTGTTATTTTGATTGAGAGAATACTCAGAAAGTTGTGGAATGAGGTAGATCAAACCAGGCACCTCTTGCGGTTTTGGTAAATTTTTTATATTTCATACTAAGAGCGAATAGTTAGCAAACGACGCTATCAGCAAGCAACCCAACCCAAGAAAATGGCGATCTTTGAGTTTGAGGGTGAGAAATGGAGAGAGTTTGGTTGCTCTTCCACGGGTAAGTTTTACGTTTAAAACTTTAGGTCCGCTTTAAAAAAAATAATTGGAAAATGAATAATTGCGATTCACAAGTTAATCTGGATTGAACAGTTCGACCGATTTTTGTGATAGGTCGACGCTAGTAGCGAATTGGACCGAAAATTTTATTACTTTGGATTGAACGATTCGACCGATTTTTGTGATCAGTCGACGACACTGGAAGTGAACTGGATCGAAAATTTTGCACTTCTTAGCTATTATACGATGTTAATTTATATAACATTAATATTTATTCGTATAATAATATTTGAATAATTTTAATGTCCATCACCGTTACAAGTTACGACATATCTCTATAGAATTATTCACCAATATGGCCATGCATCAGCATTTGAACACTAATCTAAACCAACCCTTAGTGATTAAGCAAACACCCGTTCGCTATTTGGAACACTAATCTAAACCAACCCTTAGTGATTAAGCAAACACCTGTTCGCTGTGTAACAAATTCAAACTTGCAACCCACCAAAATCAAAGTTCAAGTACGACCCGAAAGGGTAAAGAGTAAAGACCCAACTACAAACGCACACCACAGCTACGGTACTGCAGCAATGTCAGATGGGAAACCAGCAGCAACACCACGTAGGCCCCTCCGTCATCATCAACAATCCTGTTGGACCGCGACCACCATCGGATAGGCTGAACCGACCAAGGTGTACGATAGTAGTATCTCAGAAACAAGGACATGCATTTTTATTTCTTGTGTTTGGATGTTGGGCGGGAGGGAAATACCTACCCTCCTGCCAGCCAAAAACTTAGAGAAGAATCTGAATACGACCCTTTTGCAGTAGCCTCCTCGTTTGGTACACCCCAGTAAGGCCTAGTTTGGATCTTAACAAACACAGGTGAACAGGTTCGATTTTGCGACAACGTGTTTATAAAAAGTGATTACATAAAATAATTATAATCACTAAAAGTTATTATTTGGTTCATTATAAATTTTATTTTTTTTTACCCATTAGAAAATTTTACATTTGAATATTAAAGCGAATAAAAACATCACATAAACTAATTATTTAAAATCAAAATCTATAATCAATTAAAATAAATAATCGATCGATCGAAAACAAGCCCTACAACCAACACGTGGTATGATAGGCAATAAAGATTTGTTATCTTTTACTTTACGATAGATTTTTTTTTTTTTTGAGGTTTGAGAGTATAAAAGAAAAGAAATGTCAAAATTCCAAGATATTCACGTTATACCGCAAACTTTTGCCTGAGAACATATGCTTCTTCTGAATATACATCTGATGCTTTCACTAACTTAAACTTTTTTACTTTTTTGGGAGGAAAAAACCTTTCCTTTCCCACAATTTTTTTTCTTGCTTTTCTCCCGCCCTTTCCTCCCAGTCCCAAACAAAGCGCAGAAAACGAGAGTCTCGTTTTCAATGCATTCGAGGACAAGGGTGAATTTAATGTTTCACGTCTATCCACGTTTGGCTGACAACACACCATAAAGTTTTGGGACCGGAAGGTGATTAAGTCAAAAAAATTTGTGCGGTTCAAATCGCTCTTTGTAATTCGATTTTTACGCCGTGTGAGATCCACAAAAATGTTGTTCTTGTGTTACTCGTTGGTGTTCTATTGTTATACTTTCTACAGATGATGTTATATCATGTGCAAATGATGTTACACCTTTCGAAACAGTTGCTCTAACGATCGTTCCAGCCTCGGATCCAAAGTTTTGTTATCAAACGAACGGTCAGATAATGAGACGGGTGGTACAGACTATGGACCATAGCCAACTTTCTTGGTAAAGGTACGTGATCAATTATGATCAGAAAAAATTGTTGGGAGTTTTGGGGGTTTTGGTTGGGCCTTCGACCTTAAGGTAAAGTGGGTTCTACCTACCCGTAATAATTCGGTGGCTAAGGGTTTCAAGTTTCAACGGATTCAAGCATCATGCTCAAGCCGTACACTTGGACATGACAAACTGACTTGTTAAATACCAGTGGTAGATTGTATTCACGTGGATTAAAACATATAAAATTTCCTTTGAGGATTAAGGGCTTCTAAGTTTGCAAATTCTGCAACACTTTGTGCTACTCGACAATTTAGTGGCACGGAAGAACCAGACATCCAGCTCAGGGTGGCAATCTTTTCCCCTACTAATCAATTTGAAACAAATTTGACAAAGTGATTAGAGTCATTGAATAGATTGGACCATTGTTTGGAGTGAAACTTAACAATGACGATTAAATGTTTGCACCTTAATAATGACAATTGACAAGTGACTAACTATGATAATTGATACTCCCTCCCTCTGTCCCATTTTGATAGTTCTAGTTTTTTTTTTCATACGATTTAAGAAAAAGTAATTAATTTTATTGAAAAAACAAACTTAGATTGCTATTTTCTTAAAATACTCTTATATTAAATAGAGTATAACTTTATATTAATTATTCATGGAAACTTGAATTGATGGTTTGTGAGAGCTTGAATTGATATAAATAAGCTTAAAAGAATAAAAAATTGGCTTTTCATATATCAATATGTTTTGGAAAATTTAAATGCATTAAATGGGATAGATTATATTCAATAACAATCTATATTAAATAAAGTAGTTTATATTAATAACAACTTACATTGAATAAGTGTATTTTAGAGAAATTAAAAAATAACTACATTTTTTAATTGGAAAGTGAACTACAATTTGAAACAGATGAAAAACGAAAACAGAACTATCAAAGTGAGACGGAGGGAGTACATAAAATAACATGTTTGTACCTTCGATTTTTCGCGATTACGGGTTTCATTTCTATCCAAATTATGCTCTTGAAAATTTACCTTGTAGTTTCAACCCAAAAAAATTATTGAAAAAAAATCACCGGGGTAACCTACACCATCTGAGTTTAACATTGAACTTTGAATTAAGGGTGCCTTCATATCGCACTGGCTAAGATTACAAATTCGTTTTTTTATCTCTTTATGGAAACGGGGGGAAGAAAAGATTGGGAAGTGAGAGAAGGAACGCAGACAACGGACAAGGACCCCTCATTGCTGAGGGATAATATCAAAACCCTCCTTGAAGTTTTTCTTAATATCACTTAGTATTTCTAAGATTTTAAAAATATCACTTATCTCCCCTAATAATTACAAAATAATTATATTAACCTTCCCTTGATATATGATTCACACATCAAATAAATGGAGCTCAAAATATTAAAGAAACATAAACAAAAGTCACATTCTTCTCTCTTCCTCTCTTTCCTTTCTCAAACATTTTCTTTTACTCATTTTTTGAATGTCTATGGGATTTTTATTTCTAAATTATAGTAAATTAAAATTTTTTATCTTTTTGTTTCTTTGGTCGAAGGAGAAAAGTTTTTTAAAAAAATCATGTTTAAAAGTTACAAGGATTACCCAACTGCCAACCGGCACCAGGTCCTTATGTAATCCTTGTGTGAAAAACTCAGGAAGGTTTCTGAAATTATCCCTAAAGATTTTTCACACAAATCAAGACAGAACCCAAGTTTTTTTTTTCCCTCTTGCACGAAATCGAATCATTGTGTTTGATTTGCACCTTATTTACACACATTGACTTGCTTATATCATCCCAATTTTTTATTTCATATACATCAAATCAAAAAAATAATATAATATATTTTATAAAAAATTATTTCAAATAATCTCCGGACCAAACACATTAGATACCACCAAGTGACACCAATATGTCCGTTGATTTTTTAAGTACATACAGGATTAAGTCCTTTTGTCCGCATGCATCTCTTATTAATGAGAAACTACGAAGAAATGGAGTTCCATTGGACGCTACGAAAAAAAAAAAAAAAGCATTGGGAATATTGTCCTTGCTTTGCTTCGCTCTTCACTTCTTTTTCCTTTTGGACTACATATCCATAGAGACCATAGGCCACGAGAAGCGAACCACACTCGAACAAAAAGCTTTTGCTTTATTGCTTCTAGAGCAACTAAACTAAACTAGATGGCACAGATGATGAGTGCCGGAGGATCCAATTCGAAGGGGCTAATGACCCTGCTGCTGCTGTTTCTTCTCTTTCTGGGCATTGGAGGGAAACGGGTTGCTGCTCAAGTGCACCATGTGGTCGGCGACGACAACGGTTGGACACCTTCCACAGATCTAGGTTCTTGGCTTACAGGCAGAGTCTTCAGGGTCGGTGACAAAATCTGTAAGCACACCACCCCTTTCTTGAGTTTTTCCTTGACAGACGCAGCAGCCTATGTTTTGCCTCCTTCCTTGATCCTTCCACCTCCTTTTATGAGCTTAACATGGTCCTAGTTACTCATTCTTGTTCATTATTAGTATTATTACTATTTTTGGTTTGGTAAGATTCTTGTTGATTACTGATATAATTAGCTTTGCCATGCAAATTTTTTCCCCCTAGAGAAACCTGTCGATCCTCTTTCTCCATCGTCATTAGATTCTTTTCCTTTTTCAGTCAAATAATCCATCTTTTAAGCATGTGGTAGTTACAGCTTTTGATAATTCCAGGCACAAACTTTGTACTGCAGTACTTCGGTTTTCTTCATCTCCTCGTTATTTTGTTACTCCTGAGTTAGGCACGAAGTTTTAGAAGGTCATTTTGTTGTTCAGCATGCTTAGATTACCCTAATTTTAGAAATAAAACAGGAAAACTTTTGATTTCGTGAAGTGTTTAATTTGTCTGGAATTCGTTGTGTAGCACATAATAGGTATCGATTCGTTGATGCATAAATGAGACGGAGACGGAAGTAGCATGCTATAATCGTCTTGGGAGTTTTTTAGTTGTCAAATGGCCACCTAAAACTCTCTTCTTTCTTGTAGTTTGACTGTTAGCTCCAGTAGACATGCTTGATCCCGTTTTAATTAGTTCACTGCTCTGTCTATGTCTCTTAGAATCTAGATATGATAATTCGTTAGTACTTGGATGCTTTAAAGAAAAAATTATGATAGTAACATATTGTGAGTCTACAATAGATTAAGCGGTGGATTTCTGACAAAATTGATGGCCATATAATAAAGATTTTGGCCTTTTATCTCTGTGTGGGGCTGGTGAGAGCTATACATGGGACATGCAAACATTCTGTCTATGTCTTTTAGAATATAGATATGATAATTCATTAGTAATTGGATGCTTTAAAGGGAAAAATTATGACAGTAACATATTAGTGAGTCTGCAGTAGATTAAGCAATGAATTTCTGACAATTGATGGCCATATAATAAAGATTTTGGGCTTTTATCTCTGTGTGGGGCTAGTGAGAGCTATGCATGGGGCATGCATACATTCGATCCCCAGAAGAATAGAAGACAGTGCATTGGCATCCACATAGGATAGAGTGCCTAACTTTCAACCAACCAGATGTTACGCAACAAATCCTATTTCATTGAGTTGTGTGCGTGTATTATGAGTGCATTGTGATTCATATTATCCAACTTTCCATGATATAAATACAGAGGACCTCCCATTAATGTCCAGTTTTCTGTAGGTCATTAGGGCTTGGATGCTAGATAGGATAAATAAATGACACTTGACTGCATGAGAAGGGTAGAATTCAAGAAGCTATATGATTATCTACTCTGAAGTACAAAGAAGTTTTCTTCCTTTTATCTTAGTCCCACGCTTGGGAGTATGTTGACTGCAATTTATTGTGAACTGCACAGGGTTTGCCTACCCAGCAACTGAAGAGAGAATCCTGGAGCTCCAAACATCCGAAGAGTTCTTTACTTGTGATCTATCCAATCCCATCAGAATGTACACCAGCGGCCTGGATAAGATACCCCTCGAGAGTGAGGGCGTCAGATTCTTCACCAGTGGCAGCTTGGACAGCTGCAAAAATGGATTGAAGCTCCCAGTGAAGGTGCATCCTCAAGTGAAAAATGAGACCCTTGCTGATGGCCCCACATCACCAGCTGCTGCACCCCACTTCCCTGGCCTCTCTGTTGCACTATTTGTTGGATTGGCTCTCTTCTGCATGGGAATGTAACGCACCTCATATTCCTTCTGCTGCTGTCTCTTAGTAGTACTGTTTATCTACCCGTTTATGTTGGTTGACCACCTGCTTTTCTTTTTAGTCGTAATTCCTAGGCAGCTTCCTGGAAACATCCTCATTTTATTTACTTTTTCGCATCTGCTGGCTTGTGAAGCATATAAAACTGTTGAGGATTCTGGTGTCTTGTGTAATGACTTTTTAATTTTTATGTAACTGTCGGATTTGATGTATAATGACTTAATTTTTATACAAATGTGCTAGGTGATGGTCCGATTATTTGTCGTATCAAATTCATGTCATACGTCCGCTTGCAGAGATTAGTGATGATGTTTCCTTTTTTGGTTCTGTGCGCTATTATCTTCGTGCTTGGATACGGTTATGACGCACTTCAGAACTAAAGGACGATTCAGATTTGATATTTACATTATGGAAAGAACATCAACTGGTGTGACTTGTCTGAAAACGAAGAACAGAAGGAAAATGTTTGTTTGGATTGGGCTTTATTTTTTCAAATTTATTTACTTACATCATCATTACAATTTTCAATACACTTTTTTACCTTTTCAATTACCTTTTTATCTCACATATATCACATCACAAAAAGTGCTACAGTAAAAATATCTCTAATAATTCACAATCCAAACAAACCTCCTTTTGTGAATCTGGCAAAGGTGAAAGGCGCACTTTTATCTCGGGAAATGAACATTACTGAAAATTGTTGACCGAAAACTGATTAAAAGCAACGGCGCACTACTATTAAGAGTATTAACCACCATGAGAACGTTTTGCAATGAAACTAAACGCTAAGAAAGAACGTCTCTGACCACGCTAAACCAAACCACCAAGAGCACATGTTCGACCTTTGGGGCAAAAAACGCTAGACTACTATCTTCAAACATGCAAGACAAAATCTGATTATTATAGTTAAACGTAGCATTACAAACACGTCGCGCATCTTGAGAACCATCAATAAACAAAAAAATTCACATATCACAACATTCAAGCAATAACTTGTAACCAGCAAACGAAAAATCTCTGCCAAAATTAGGAACACGGGAAACAGAAGCTAAGATAGATACCCAGATTAACAAAGCTTGAAGTCCACTCAATCTCTACATTTGTCACTTGCTTGTTTTCAGACTCAATTGTCGGGTTGTTATTGTACACGAGGAAATAGGGTAAATTTTCAAGAAATCACCTATCCCTCAGCACTACATAGTTTGACCCGCTTGTCTTCTGTATCTTGGAAATCCTCCTTAATATAGCTGCGAAGGCATCCTTGTCCTGCATCACAGGAAATTGTAAGCAGCAATACGACAAGAAAACGATACAAATACTGACAGCAAGATTAAGTGTTCTTGTTCCATAACATTCAGTTGCACATCTCCTACATAGTAATATAACATTTCCCAGCCCTCAGTCACCCCCAGATAAAATTCAAAGCTGCAACCCTTGTTATCAGCTGTTGTCCATCTCAGCACCTGAACAGCTTTGCTATGTTTATAAGATATCCAATTTACACCCAACAAACCCTATCAGATTCTCCAAAACATCTGAAACATGCTTCTTTTCCTCCCAAAAAAAAAAAATTTGCTTCTTCATTGATATTTTGTACACTGCATTGCAATTAGAAGGTTGGCCAATAAGCTGTATAGCACAATGGGCATACGAATATTTTTGTGAAACTGTTCTGGAAGCTTCAAGTGGAAAGGCCTATAAGCAGCATTTTACACAATATCCTAAAGAATCACGTCTTACAGTAAACTAATTTAATTCCAAACGCCACTATTTATTCTATTCCACTCAGAAAGAAAACCTCCAAGTGCCACAAATCCTTGGGTAAAGTAAGCTTATTTATTCAAGAAATTTCCAGTTGCTAGTGACTTGCTTTCATTTTCTTCCCTAGGATCCAAGAGAACTTTAAAATTGTTCATGAAGATTAATTCCACACACTCAACTAATTGCTTGGAATCCTCAATGTAACTATCCTTCTTCCCATTCTGTAGTTTATCACCATCTTTACTTGAAAAACTCTTGACTTTATATATCTCATTTTGCATTTCATACTCCATCCATGTACACAAATACTGAGGGGAAGCTATAGTTGGGGCTTAATAGCAAAGTTGCAGACAAGACTGGAAAGATATTTACAAGAAAACAATATACAGTACCTCTTTCGTTTTGAGTCTAGATTTAAATTTGGCAACAAGATCCTGAGTAGTCACTGGCCCCTTCTGCAATAAAACAGCCCTAATCTCATCTTCAGTGACCGGACCAGAAGGAGTTGACCCTGTTTTTGAAGATGGCTGTTGCGATACAGCTTTTGGAGTCACAGTATTCTTCAAGCCAGAAGTATTTTCACTTTTAACAGGCTTTACTTCCTGAAAATACAAAATAAAAAATAAAAAGATGGTCATTGAAGTAAAAGTGAGTTAAAGATAGTTGAAAACCAACAGAGTAATATCTTCCACAGATTATTTTCATCTATTGGAATTAAATAAATACAACAAGGTAACTAAATGTATTACATTTTCGGATTTGACTTTTTTAAGAGGTGTCCCATTTGCCGCTTTCACTTCTTCACCATTACTTTTTCTTTTCCCCTTTGCCGACTTTGAAGTAGGAGGAGTTCCCCGAGAAGGTCCAGGAGCAGCTGATTTTAGTGGACTGATGTTCTCAGTTGGTTCTTCTTTAAGAGTTTCCTTTTGTTTTGGTGCTAACACAGGAGAAATATCATCTTCCATCTGGAGAATTGAAACAAAAGAACTTTATGATCATTAAGTTCATAAAGAAAAGAGCCCGAACAAAGAGCGGTTAACAATTCACTTGGTATAAGAGATTATTAACTACGAGAACATCAGAAAGGACTCCAGGGTTCTTTCACAAGTCTTTTTAGCACCCTTCCCATCAATTTGTAGAACAAAAAGGATGAAATGGAAAATCTGTCGCACGATTTCCCATAACTAGAAAAAAACAGCTAGAACTTACGACAAACCAAAAAGTTACTTACATCGTCATCATCATCATCTTCGTCTTCTGCATCTGAGTCATTCAGCCCATTAGCTCGGCCAAGCAATTTCTTCAACTCCTTTCCAGATTTGCTTAGCCCTCCCCCCTCCTCTTCATCACCTTCTTCCTCATCCTCATCATCCTGCAACACAAAAGTAATCACACAACCATCAAGAAGACAAGCTAAAGAGTACAAAAAGATGTACAATACAAAAAATTTAGAAGTACAATGGAAAGCAAAGTACAAAACTATACAGGCAACACACAGGAGGGTACTCAAGATCAGCAACGATGCTTCCACCTAAGGAAACTCATATTTATAGATGCAGTTCCATGGTATAACGACGTCTACTGTAGCGTCACCACCACCAGTGCTTTGCAGTTAATTAAATCAATTAAACAAGTGTGTTTCTAGACTTTCTACCACCTAAAATAATTAATGAAGCCTGTCTTTCTGCAAGTGAGAAGAAGTGGTAATGTACAAGAAATCCGTCCACACAGACTGTAGGCATCACAAAGGATGCTTGTTTGAGAAGTAGAAGATAATCTTCAGCGTCACAACTAGACCATTCAAATTTCAAATGCAAATGCAATCATAATAAACCTGCTTAATTTCAGGAGGAGCAGGAATTTCAGGGGCCAATTCTTCACGTTCCTCTGTATAACAAGTTTCATCATCATCGGTAAAGATTTCTTCATGCTCCCAATCATCACCTACAGAAAAATGAGTAATGCAAATGCTTAGCTCAGGTTCAATTTTGTCCTTGGGAAGTTTAGAGCAAGCAGGCAGTGAGTCAGAGAAACCGGGTGAGGAACTTCTGAAATCCACAAAGGTAATAGCATTTCATGTCCATGTCATTAATTGCCAAATATTAGCAATATGGAAATATCAAGTCAACATTCAATGCGTCAGCCAAATATTTCCAGTAGGTTATTTTCCATCACAAATTAATGCAGAAATTGTTAGGCATACAAAACTATAGACGTAGGAAAAGAGGCAAGCAAAGTGATAATATACACCAGGAGGCAAACAACAAACCAAATCTATTGTTACTATCTGAATAGACCCATTATGACATCCTTGTAGATATAATGAGACACAGAAAAAAAAAAAGAAAAAAAAAGAAAAAAAAAGAGAGAACTAAAGGTGCTCAGCGGTCAAAATGCAACACAATGCATGTTATCAGAGAATAAAAGCTCACCTTTTTCAATATCATCATCGTCAAGATCAAGATCACCTCCTCTTGGACCTTCTTCATCATCATCACCACCTTTTTGATTGAGACCCAGCCTATTTTTTCTTGCGGCCTCTTCCTCTTCATCTTCCTCACCCCTATCTGATGCATTGGCCTCTTCATCATCACCCCCCGCCTTCTTGCGTCCCCTTCCACCGCCAGCTCCAGCTTCCTTGTCATCAATTTTTTCAACTTCACCAAATGCGGCTGGTCCATTATTTGCTGCTTTCATCATCCACCGCTGATACCCATCTGCAGTTTTCCTTCTATTTTTCATCTTCTCTTCTGCTTCTTCAAGAGTAAGTTGTTTATATTGTGCAACTTTGTTGAAATTGTACCTGACATCGAGGGCAGTATGCATGCATACAGTCAAAATGCAGCATTTAACAGATAGAACTAGATGCACGGTACCATGATAGCATATAAGATGCATAAGCCATAAAGACCATAATATGATGTCTGCAACATGCGTACCATGAACCTGCAGGAATGGCAACAAATTCTCTTCCTTGAAGCATCAGGAGATAATAGGTGGCTGATTGTGCACCCTCAAGTTGACCGTGGTACTGAGTCCCCGTTTCATCTTCCAGCAGCCAAGGCTTATTCTTGTACTTCTCCTGTGCAACAAAACTATATTATGGTAAGCCAGGGCAACACGTCAACAAAAGAAAGCTCAACAGACAAGCCACATATATGTCAGGCTATCTGACGGTTAAAAGCACAAAAACTCATTCCAATATAGTCCTCATGGAAAAATGAAGAGCAATGGAAATTATCCTATCTATATTCCAATGTAATCTCTTCTAAAGCTTCCTCAAAAATCACAGAAATAACATTTTGTAGCTGTCTACTCTTTAACCAGCATCTTAATATCTAAGCAACTTCCCTAATTTACTCCAAGAAAAAACAAACGGGATCATCCACAAAGGCTACTGCTATTGTGGCTGGTCATCAGTCTTCCACTAGCAGCTGAAAATTGAATTCCAGCCATGCCTGACTCTAGAACTTCTAAGCATGCCAGACTCTTTAACTTCTAAGCATACCTAATCCTT